TCGGCTCATAAATGGCTGGGTTGCATGCTGTCCACAGGGGGGGCGGACTCCCGTGCTCTGGATCTGAATTACCACATGCAAGGTGCAGCCAAGGCATGTTATGCGAATCGCCGTATTCTGTGCGATAAGAGAGCCACTATCACACAGAGGTTGAAATTGTTCAATTCTGTCGTAACATCAGTGGCGTGTTTTGCAACAGAACGTCGCCCAATATATGTGGAAGATTTGAAAACAATGGATCTCGAATTCCGACGCCTCGTGCGACAGATCGTTGGACCGCCTCCGGGCGTTGATTGGGATGCACCGTGGCATGATGTACTACATGTTTGGCACGAGCGTGCACGCAACTTCATCAACGGTGCTGGCATTCGTACATGGGCAGAACAATGCGTTCACCAGTATTTGTCGTTTGCACCATATTTTCAGCAGCTACCAGAGACAAGGTACATCGTCAGAGTTCTGAATTGGTCACCGCGCGGTCATCGTGCAGCAGGGCGGCCGACTCTTACATGGACAAGCAAATAGGAAGCTTTCGGCCGCGTGGTTGGCTCTCAATGGCGTTCTTGGTCTCCAGATGTGTTTCAGGAGCGAGCCGCGAAGTTTCAACATTTTTGCTGCCATGTTCATTGAACATGTTGAGGGAGTATGTCTTCTCTCCACTCCGCGTCTTGATCCAAAGCAACAGAGGGGCAAACATTGTGTGAACGCCCTGCTGTCTGACACTGATACCTAAATATCTGCTTCACGCTCGGGCGCACTACCGCAACGATAAGCCAGGTGAACGAGTCCTCCCCTTTTTAGACGCACGTACTGTTTTCCTTAGATGTGGCGCGCGCGTGTATTGCACGCTGCCGACTGCCACCGCCTGCGCCCTTCATGGGCTCGCCTTCCGGCGCACGGGCGTGACCTTGACCTTGTAGTATCTCGTTTCCCGAGCGTTGCGGCCAGAAAGGGCCCGCCACGGCGCACAAACTACACGATTGTTTGGTGCCGACTTCGCCCCCGGGGGGGGCGACACACACACACACATAGTATATTAGTATGCTGGGGTGACGCCGAACAAAGAGACAGAGAGAGAGAGAGAACATGATCGACCCACGAACCCGGAAAGGAATATAGAACTGTAACACATGGCAACGTTTTCAAAGACACTTGATTGGGTGACGGGCAAATGCAATGCTGCGTGTATCGATCTTGATGTACCCTGCCGAGGGCTGTGCTGTGCTGCGCCGTGCTGAATTGCGATGTGCCATGGCGCGACTGTGCTCTATAGCGTCGTGGATCGAGTCCTCCTTTGCATCCGAGTCCTGACCGAACTGATCTGGATCTTAAGCTCGAGCTGCCTGAACACATAGTAGCTGCCCCAGAGCTAATGGACAGGGGAACATGCCAGGAGGACGCGCCGCGAAACGTCCCAAGGGATGCGCCAGGCCGACGTGCCAGGGGACGCGCCATGGGGTCGCACCGTAGGACGTGCCAAAAGGACGCGCTACGGAACGTGCCAATGGATGTGCCACGGAATGTGCCAGGGGACGCGCCACGCGACGTGCCAGGGGGACTCGCCAAGGGACGCCCCACGGAACGTGCCAAGGAACGTGCCAAGTTGCAATGCTGAGTGTATCGATCTTGATGTACCCTGCCGAGGGCTGTGCTGTGCTGCGCCGTGCTGAATTGCGATGTGCCATGCCGCGGTTGTGCTCTATAGCGTCGTGGATCGAGTCCTCCTTTGCATCCGAGTCCTGACCGAACTGATCTGGATCTTAAGCTCGAGCTGCCTGAACACATAGTAGCTGCCCCAGAGCTAATTGACAAGGGGAACATGCCAGGAGGACGCGCCGCGAAACGTCCCAAGGGATGCGCCAGGCGACGTGCCAAGGGACGTGCCATGGGGTCGCACCGCGGGACGTGCCAAGGGGACGCGCTACTGAACGTGCTGGGGACAAGCGTTTCGCTCGAGACATCCTATCAAAATCATCCGAATTCCTACGCGCGGGACGCGGCACGCGCGAGACATCCTCGGAATTCCTGCGAGCGGGACACGAAAACAAGCATTTCGCCTGAGACATCCTTTGAATTCTGCCCCCCACGAGGCCCCCGCTCGAGACATCCTCCAATTTTGCAAAACCAGCGTTTCGCTCGAGACATCCTCAACAAATTATGAAAAACAAGCGTTTCGCTTGAGAAATCCTGTCAAAACCCAAAGAAATCAAAATTCCTGCGCGCGGGACGCGGCACGCGCGAGACATCCTCGGAATTCCTGCGCGAGGAGCGCTTTTCCGTGTCGCGGTCGGCTCTGCAAAACCAGCGTTTCGCTCGAGACATCCTCAACAAATTCTGAAACCAAGCGTTTCGCTCGAGACATCCCCAACTCTGCAAAACCAGCGTTTCGCTCGAGACATCCTCAACAAATTCTGAAACACAAGCGTTTCGCTCGAGACATCCTCAAAAATTACGCTACGTCAGCGCTCCCAGGGCAACGATCCCTCGTAAGGGCTCCTGGGCCCTCCTGGGTCTTCCTTGGACCTCTTGGGCCCTCCTGGGCTCTCCTGGAGCCTCCTGGAGCTTCTCCTAGGCCCTCCTTGGGCCCCCTGGTGCCTCTTGGAGCCTCCTGGGTCCTCCTGGGCCCTCCTGGGCTCTCCTGGGCCCTCCTGAGCTCTCCTGGGCTCTCCTGGAGCCTCCTGGGCCCTCCTTGGCGAAGTCAAGGTCCGAAAACACATGGGACTTGCCACATTTCTGAAATTCGGTGCCACCCCTCACGCAGGTCGGCGGGGTCAGGATCTGAAAACACAGGGGATTTGCCACATTTCTGGAATTCCGTGCCACCCCTCACGCAGATCGGCGGGGTCAGGGTCCAAAAACAGATGGGACTTGCCACATTTATGGAATTCCGCGCCACCCCTCACGCAGATCGGCGGGGTCAGGGTCCAAAAACACAAGGGATTTGACACATTTCTGGTATTCCGCGCCACCCCTCACGCAGATCGGCGGGGTCAGGGTCCAAAAACACAATGGATTTCTGCGATTTCCGAACTTATGCAACTCCAAGAATCCAAAACTCCGTTCCCAGCGCCGTTCCGGAGGCCGCGGTACCTCGTTATTTATCGAGCGAACGCGTTTACCTAGTTTTTTATCGTTTAAAGTCGATGTCGGAACAAAGTGGACTTCACCTGTAAAATATAGAGGTTTCCTTAAAGGCAGTAAAATTCCAAGAGCACGATCTGCGTGAGGGGTGGCGAAAAATGGCCTTCGTCCTCACAGTTGAAATCCGCCGGCCCCCTTCGACCTCGTTATTTATCGCAAAAGAAATCCGCCGGCCCCCTTCAAGTAAAACCGGGGGTAAACAATCTAAAAGAGAACCCTGGGCCCAGGCCCTTTCCGGGAAAACGTAAGGCCACAACACGGGGAAGGACGAGAGAGCGAAATACGGCCTGACCTAGGACATAATGACATCCTTCAACAACATGAGAACCTCCGCTGGCCCAAACTGAAGGACACTCGAGGGTGCCCTACGCGCCCAACCCGCCCCCGTATGAGCGCCAATCCGCCCCGGTATGAACGCCCCTTCAATCGGCCCCGACGAACTGATGAAATCAGCCCTCGACCTGCCTGGGGATCCGCTTTCACGAGCATTATGAAGGGAGTCCAGCTGTGGCGACGGAAAACCTCACGGAGAAACAAACGCGTTCCGAAACCATCCCAAGCCTCTATCCTCGAACCTCAAGCCTCGAACCTCCCTCCCTCGAACCAGGGCGCCCTCCCCGAACCGACCTCGACCCTATACATCGGTCCGACTGTAAGGGAAAGGCCAAGCGAGCCCAGCGGGGGCGAAGCACACTGACCGAGACAGAAAGGGGGCCATCGGGCCACCGCACAACTCCTATCCGACCATTGGTCCGACCACGGAACGGGCCGACCACGAAAAGCCAATCATGAAAAGAACACGGACAGCCAATAAGAAAGAGGAGTCAGGAAACGGATCAGATGGTACCCTCTCCGAACCGACCTCGACCTTGTACCTCGGTCCGACTGTGGGAGGAGGGCCAGCCGAGCCCAGCGGGGGCGAGGCACACAACGGCCGAGGCAGAAAGGTAAGACAAAGCCAGGACGAGGAGATGACTTCGGGTGATGATGAATCGAGAACCTCTGAGATCGGACACATCTGGAGGATGTCTCGGGTGCCGCGACCTTCTCAGAGCATTCCAGAACGCTCTGAGAGCATTCCGGAACTCTCTGGAATGGACTTATCCATGTCCTAGCCCCGTCCGAAAGAGGGCCATCGGGGGGCGGCCGTGGAGGCGAAGGAGCACGGCGAGGGAGGGCTGGGGGCGGGTGAAGGGCAGAAAGTCGCGGGGGCGGACCAATGTGGTCCACACCCGGGCAGCGGCGCTCCGCAGAGCGAAACGCCACAAGAAAACTAAAGCCCATGGGGCTAGCATTAAGACCATACGCATCAAGAGAGCAGACAGATTGCGAAGGCAGACAACCCTCCAGGATAATAAGTGCCAAGATGACTCCGCCCGAACGAACAGCTGGGTCAGCAACGACACTGCAACATGCGAAACTCCTTTTGACAATGAACGTACACAATGGGTATGCGTTGTGGTTCTCGTCCAGGCTGGTGTGTTCCGCTGATTGGATCTCCAGAAAGCTATCGCTGGCATGCTAATGTTTTCCGTTGAACTGCCCAACGTCGTGTTGTCAGTACCTACCGCGTTGCTCGGAAGCTTGGTGCTCGACTCACTGTGGATGTCAAGACCATCATATTGCTCGCCGTCGAGCTGCACAACACACCGACGCATAAACACAGTCACACCACATCATGTACGACTGCTGCACACATGAAGAATGCACGGACGTATGAAGCAAAGAACGTTGGCAGATCAACCAATACCTGTCATGGTGAAGCCACTTGTTTGAGTGGTCATTCTTTCATGGAAGCAACTTGCCATCACCACGTGGGGTATACATCGTGCGGCAGCAAAGAAACCTGACATCCGATCCTTATGCACAAAGCTGAACATCTCATTCAACTCCGAACTATCCTCCCAACGAGACGGTTTTGAAGAACTGTCATGGGCAACTTGCGCAACTCGAATCATGGAACATATCAACGCACATGCATGGCATCTGAACGCGCTGGACAATACCCTCCAGGCGCGCTGAAAGTTTGGCCGAATAGCGCATAACAACATGTTGCCAACATTGTGTACCCAATACCTTAGATAACGTGTACTACACTAGTTGCATCTTGATGGAGCGTCCAAAATCAGTTTCGATATCGAGCGACACGAGGCGGCCGAACTAGACCACTGGACCCAGAAACGAGTCGAGGGTTGACAGAGACCCCGTCAACACAACACCACTTCTGGAAAAGCTGCAAGGTGCGGGCGGCACCGCATTCCGAATGCACCTGGGCGGAATAGCCGACCGACATCCAACAACGACCGAATGTGCCCAACAAAACACACGTCGGTTAGCGACATCCACGAGGGACTCCACTGGTACACCGCGAATGCCAATGTCGAGTGAACTGGTGCAAATGTCGTCACTCGACATATCTGGGTGGGCGTTCTCCCGGAGCCACATACAAAACACCGCGGGGTACCACTGCGTATGCTTGCCCTTCAGCGACGTCAAATGGGTCGGGACACTGTCCGACCAGCTTCAGGATCAGCTTCTGGGCACAACCTAAAGCTTCAGGAGCAGCTCTACGTTTTGCCTGGGGGTTTTATCTCATGTGTCCTTGATCTGCAAATTTCAAGTATTGCTTGTAGCTTCAAACATGAGCTACGCGATTCTGAGTACACGTCGATTTCACCTATAGCGTTAATGGCATCTCGGGAAACCGGCCCGCCCCTGGTGGGACAACTGGGACCCTCGGAATAAATTTGTACACACATCTCTCTCTCTCTGTTTTTGTTCTCTCGCTGTCTCTCTCTGCGTCTCTCTCTCTCTCTCTCTCTCTCTCTCTCGCTATATATATACACACTAAAACCACGCGCACGCTTCGCGCGCGCTTAGGTTCTAGCGCAGACTTACCGATTCCGAATACGAGCTCGGACAGGAGAGAAGCAGGCGGATCGGCTGGAGCATCACAGTTGTCAGCTGTCAGCTGCAGGGTTATCCTGGCCTTCCTTGCACCCCCCCTTCTCCGTTTCCTCCTCCTCTTCCCCCCCGTGATCCTGCTCCTGCCCGTGTTTGTTTCCACTACGTTGTACCTTCTCCTCGGCCTCCTCCTCGTCCTCTCCGCTCTTCACATCCATGTCCTGTCAATTCTCCTTTTCCTCCTCCCCCTCCTTCTGCATATCCTCCTCTTCCTCTTTCCATCCCCCCGTCTGCTCCTACCCTCCTCCCACACCCCGTTATCCTCATCTTCATCCTCTTCCTCCGCCTCCTCGTCCTCCTGTGTTTCCCTCTTCTCCTCTTCCTCCTCCTCATCCGCTTCCTCCTCCTCCTCTTCGTCCTCTTCTTTCTCCTCCTCTTCTGCGCGCGCGGGGCTGGGAGTGCTGTGGCGGCGGTAACCAAAATGACGAAAACGACGACGAACGTAGACGACCACGACGAAGACCATCACCACCGGCCACGATGACGGCGGCCACGATAACGACGAACTTCGACCAGGACCATCACCGTAGCATAAGTTATCACAATAATACATGTCCAGAGGACCCAACAGCACCTCAGCGGCGCGCGAAACCGCAACTTATTCGGTCGAAGCTGACCGGTGTTTGGCTTCAGGGGTCTGTGGAAGGCTGCTTGGCAGCTTTCGGATAGAGCCTCTCTAGGGCTTGCAAGCGGTCGAAACACCTTTGGAAATGTCTCTGCAGCCTCTGAGGCCTCGTTTGGCCCAGGTGTACCACTCTGTTTTTGTTTTCTTTCCAGGTTTTCGGCTAAGGTTTGTCACCTCGGAAAGTTTCAAGACACAAACGGCCCAAACAGGCGTTGAATACGGTTCCAACAAGCCCGCGAAACCGCCCAATGCCTGATGCAAAATTGCTTTTGACGTACAGCGGATGTTTTTCCGATGCGGGGTTCGCTGCTATCGCTTTGGTATCCGAAGAGCTTTGGGCGTCTCCGCGATGGCCTCCAATGTCCTCAAGATGTGCCAAAATGGCCCACTATTATTCCAAGAGGGTGGCCCAGAGAGATCTCGCGGAATGCCTCGCACGACGGTAAAACAGCCCTCGACGCGTGCTGTACTTTCCCCAGGCAGCGCTCGCCTTTAGGGGTTCTGATGCGTTTTCTAAGGAACTGGGCCCGCGCGGCGGTATGGCGGCTACGTTGTCGCCGTCGCCGCTCCGTCGGCGCCTCGTCGCCGCTCGTCGACTGGGCCAATGGACGGGTCTGGCGGCTACGTTGCTGCCGTCGCCGCCCCGTCGCCGCCTCGTCGTCGCCCCGTCGCCGCCGCATGCATTGCTTCGCGTTGCTTTGCATTTCCTTGTGCAATTTGGATCGCGCAGCGTGCCTTTGCGTTGCCTTGCTTGCCTTTGCATTGGCTCGCTCCTCCTTCCCCTCCTCCCTTCCGCCTGCTCCACGCCCTCCTCATCCTGCGCCTCCTGCGCCTACTCTTCCTCTTCCTCGTCCTCCTCCTCATTGTCGATATCCTCCTCCGCTTTATCCGCCTCCTGTTCCGCAACTTCCTCCGCCTCCTCCTCCTCCTTATCTGCCTCCTGCGCCCTCCTCGTCCTCCTCCTCTTCCGCGTCCTCCACCCCCTCCTCCTCTTGCTCCTCCTCCTCGGTTTCCTTGTTCCCTCGTCCGAACTACTCCGCTCTCATTGTGATTCTCTTCTTTCCAGCGTGTTCCGGAAGAGTCTTGCCGGAACGCGCTCTGCAGAATCACCGCGGCTGCCCCCCTTGCTACTTCCTCTTTTTGATCACAGCCCAACAGCCTGCGAGTCTACGCCTCCTCCTTCTCGCCCCCCCCCCCTGCCGCGTGTTTGGGGCGCCTCAGTCTCCGTCGCCACCGAAACGCTAGCGCCGCAGCTGGCGGCGGTCTGCGGGGAAAACTGCCAGGGCCTCGTTCACGTTGAGCGCGCGCGCGAGACGGAGACGCTTGGCTCGGAACTCGTTTAAGAGGAGATAGGCCCCAGCGGGAACCTCGAGGGGCCGACGGGGCGGCGCCGCAATGCCGAGGCGATCCGGCGGCGACGGGGGCAGGTCTTCCCCATTGGCGCTCTCAGCGCCGCGCCAAGGACCGCGCGCTCCCAACGATGCCCGATCGAATCTTCATTCGCGGCGCTGCAGGAGCAACCAAACATGCAGAAAGCATTCGAAATCTGCTGAACAACGCCCTTGCGTCTACCAGTCGAGGGCGCCCAAGCGGCAGCGGAAGCGAGATCAGTAGGCAAGGAGGCACGGATCTGCAGAACCGCCGCCCAGTCAAAGGCAAGGATGCGTCGACGCTCGGAAGGGGACCAATCGAGCAAACAGGCTTTAAACAAAGATGACGGGGCCTCAGGGAGAAAGATCGGTGAGAATTGTTACGCAAGCTGCGTTAGCAATTTAAATCGTTCGGGGCCCAAGCCCTGGGAAACATGTCCACGGAGTAAACTCTGGAGATTCTGAACCACTGGACGCGCGCAACAATAGCACGCCGAGTATGGAAAACCGCGGTGCGCACCAGCGATGATTCGACACAATGCCCGAGACTTCCAACGCGTCGGTGAGTATTTCTCCCGCCGCCCAATCCGCGATCGGAAGGTGCTGCAGCGCATCGCGGTACAGAAGAATCAAACTCTCTCGCCACTCCAAGGTCGTCGAGCGCAGTTCTGTCTCGGGCAGAAGGGCATGTCACCTCCAAGCGTCGTATCTTCGGCCCGCCCCAATCCCTCCAAATATACCACGTCGCGCGGGCGAAGCCACAATACGGCGCGGGAAATGCCCGCGCAAACATGGCTGCCTCGAAGCGGGGGGGGGGGGGGCGACGGCGTCGGAAAAGAAAAACGGCGCCGCGCACGAGAGAAGAGAGGCAGCTCACGACGTATAAACATTCGATGAAACAGCGCAGGCAGCACCAAAACCCTGCAAGTTCAAATGGGCGAATCCTCCATTTCAACAGCGGCGGCGACCTACGCCGAAGCTTTGCCTCTGGAGCGATGTACACACCAAGGTACTCGATGATATTAACGATTCCGGAAGCAGCCCATGACGGGGCCAAGGAGGCCAGACGCTGAACATATTTACAGGCAAGAGCTTCGGGGCATGGACAAGCGAGCATCAGGGCGCTGCATCTGCAAATCTTCAAAACGAGAGCGGCAATCTTTTCAGCGACGCTGAGAATCCTGAAGAGCTGCGCCATGTACTGGAGCTTCCAAAGAGCGGCGCCAACGTCGTCTGCACAAAGACGGACAGTGCCACGAGACTAAAATGCAGTCGCCGGGTCGAAATCGCATGCACATGGTTCCATGCACGCTGCGAAAATCGCCCCTGGCGCCGGGCAGCCCTGGGCGAGTCCAGACGCGATCGGAAACGTAGATATCATAATGCCCAAATTCAAAGTAACAGTTGACCCCCATATTCAGGAACATCAGGAAATCGACCAGAGCAGCAGGCAGGCGGATAGCGCGCAGCACGAGGCGCATCCTCCGACGAGGCATCGACGGGGGCGCCCGCGCGAAGTCGAAGCCGGCAAAGGGCGGGCGTGTCCAACTCAGCGCTGGCGGGCATGCTGTAGGCGCGGGCATGCGCGTCCAGCTCTATGATATTGGTCCCAAACTGACGTCCCTGGGCAAAGCCCCCCTGGAGGCCGTTGGCTACCTTGGGCCACTCCCTGGAGAAAGAAACCATAGAACTGGCGGTGGTAATTCCTTGTCGGGATTCTTAAGGCGCACGGGTCTGAGCTGACTGCGCTTTCGGACGCACCCCCCTCCAGCAAAATCGCTCTCCTCCTCGCCCCGGGGAATGAAGATTCCCAAGAGGTCGCTGAACCCAGAAAGCGCCCAGCCACCGTCCAGGGGCAAGAACGTCATCCCAGACGACGCTTCAGTGGCTCGTAGGGCATTCTGCCAACCCACATGCGGAATGCAGTCAGGGCCTGGAGCGC